TTTTTTTCTTTCCTCTTTTTTTAGTGGTAGGGATGGAACCCAGACCTCGCACATGGTAGGCTGAGCCACACCCAGCCCCAGACTTGCTTTTTGGTGAAACATCAGATAGTCGGTTTAATTTGGTTTGGATGTTTTAAAAGATCAAAAATGCAGGTTCAACCATAGTTTTTAAAGCAAAGTAGAACATGTTGGTGACTACATTAAGAATCCATTCAGTGATAAGTCGTATGGTTGACAGAGCAGTCATTATAATGCAGTGTTGACTGGAAAGAATTTTTGAGAAAGATAAAGAAGGCTGACATCCAGTAGTGAAGATAAGAGGAAAATGCGGATCGCAGGAGGGGTTCCACGCAGGAACAGCCAGGATGCCTAGAGCTGAGGACAGCTGGCAGCGACCAGCTGTGCACTGGGCAGTGTATCTCAGCTGCAGTGAGGCATTATTGCTGTTCCCATTTTACAAAGGAGAAAACTGAAGTTCAGAGAAGTTAAACCAACAACTTGCCTAAGATCACACAGTCTACGGCCCTACAGAAAGGATCTTGTCTGTTCCCAATGGTATATCAATAAAAGCACAATCACTGCTCTTATCAAATGCAGATTGGCCTGGGCAAGAATGACTCTCCCCCAACTTGTCAGGAGAGGGAGAGAGGCCGTGCGGGGAGCTGCGGCCCTCTGGCAGTGACGGGCAATCCGTGTGCACAGAAGAGTGACAAAAGGAGAAGAGAGATGCAGACTGAGGAAGGACTCTGCCCTCCTGGGGGAGCTGAGCCCTTGGGCTTTGAGTTCCTTGTTGAACATTGACCACAGCCAGCCCAGGGGGTTAGCCCTGCTCTGAGACACCCCAAGTGTGGGAAAGCAGCTTCCCCATGACAACAGGGAGGGGTTGGGTAGCCCACAGACTACCAAGGTGTCATTTTTACTTCAAAATAAGTAAGAAGTCCATCAACCTGTCATGCAAAGATAATGGACCTGCCCCAAGTGAGGTTGTATTTGCCCTTGGTCTTCTCCTCAGCCAGGGCCCCAATAAGTATGCAAATTGCAAAATTATCTTCCAAACATAGAGGTATTTTTCATTATGATCCCAGGAAGCTCTCAGCTTCTACGCTTTATTAAGCCACAGTTATCATTTTAGAACAAGGCCATTTGCCTTTTCGTACATACTTAAAATTTACAAAGTGCTTTTTAATGTCTCAAAGTTGTAGCCAGCATCAGAGGATTGCAGTTAACCCTACCTTAATCAGCTGGGAAGATACTACCCCCTCACCCAAAGTAAGCTGACCCCAACTTCACACACAATTCTCTAAATAGAAGTAACCAAAAATACAAGAAAGAGAACTGGGCGTTTGTTACTTTAATTGCCAGAAATTACATTTTGCTTAGACATTAGGGTAAACACTAAGCTGCCCCAGAGAATGTCTCTTTGACCCAGGTCACAGAATGATTTTGATTTGTATTCACACACACACACACACACACACACACACTAGCACACTCAATATCTGAGAGTGCCTCATAACTCCTGCACAGTAGGTTTTCTGGGAAGAAGAATGTGACATACTTTGGTTCTCACAGCTTCTTGCTTCCTGACACGTGTGGAGACTCCCCAGGGGTACAGCATGCTCTGAGCTTGGGAATGGGAGCAGGCTGCAGGGGACACTCCTAGCCCTAGAACTATGACTTCCTGAAAATGCCAGTCTTCTTTGGGCTCAATCCTAATTTGTAAAACAGAAATTTGTATGCCAATTAGATTGCACAACATTCACAAACTTTACTGAATCACTTTAATTCTAGGTATGAAAATTAAGGAAATAAAAATGGAAAGAGACTCAAGTACTGAGATATTTTGAATCTGTTTTTAATAGTGAAAAAATGTTAAATGTCCACCTATATGAAAATGATAGAATTTGATTTATAAATAAAATGATATTTTATTCCTGTGATGGAAGATTATGTTGCTACTTAAATGAGTGGAGACTATTTAAGGACATGATAAAATCATCACAATACAAAATTAAGTAAAAAAAAAAACAAGGTATAAAAACATATATAGTGTAGTCTTAACTTTGCATTAAGATGTGTGTTTGGGAGATGTAATCACATGGCAGCTGTGGCTGCTTCTGGGGAGGGTGGTCAGTAGTGATTGTGTTTTTCTCTTTATCCTCTTTGTTTAACGCCTCTTCCATGTACAATATAATCAGAAGAAGTTATTTTGAAACTAAAAATAATAGAGTGATCTAGATTCTCACTAATTTTTTTCACAATTCTAAATATCTATTCCAATTATGAACCAATAAAAAAGTCAAAAATAATAGGTAGTTTTGGAGTTTCCAAAAGCAGTTGCTCCTCAGAATAGAAGCATTAGCCCTGATCTTCCTGACCCAAGGCTAGACTGTGGCACACTGGATCCCTGGTCACAAAGATGCCATGTCCCGTTTTAGAAACATGACGTTGCTGCTGTCTTCTCTTTAGTGATGTGGTGAGTTTCTCTCTCCCCAGCGTCGCCAGGCTTCGGATCCTATGCCAAGGTCAGGCCACCCTTCCTTCCGTCAGAACCGTCAGTAATTTTGCTCTCCTATCTGCCACACTTGCATGCCAATTTCGGGTTAGTGGGGTTGTAATTCCGGTGGGTGCTTTCCTTTTAATAAAACATGGTTTTGAGGTCGCTCTTCTCACCAGAAGCCAGCATGGCACCTCGGCAGGTGTGTGCCAGCTTTCACTTGTATCTGATAGTTCATGGGAGGGGAGAGTGTCGCTGTCAGTTCTCCCACGTGAAGGCCTCGCTGTGTGCTGCGGGCGTGCTGGGTGCTGGGTGCTGGGTGCTGGGTGCTGGGTGCTGGGACACAAGTGGCCAGCGTTGCTCCCAGGAGTACCTGCAGAGCACCCTGTGCAACTCAGGCAGAAGCTCCAAAGTGCTCAAGCAAAAAACGCCTGACTCAGGAGTGTGCAGCCATCCATGGCGCCTCTTTCAAATAGTTCTATTCACCTGGAAACGATCTCTTACGTAAACTATCCTTTTGTGGTTACTATACAGGGTCAAGTTGTTTTCCAGTCTGAGTACAGAGAGAAATTCCGAAATTCTGAACGTGACTTAAAACTTCAGGTTCCCAGCGGATGGTCATAGGCCGTGAACATTTATCTACTGAATATGAGAAAAGTGCAGAGAGGCACCTCGGAGGCCAGCCATCTCTCGCTGCCTTCAGGCCATCCACACCATGGCCAGTGCCCCCTGGTGAAAGGGGTCTCTGTTTTAAGGGCCATTACAGAAGAATCCCAGACTCCTCCAGAGCTTGTCACCCACCACACTCAGGAGTCACCTCCTGTGTTCTGAGTAACCCTCGCGGAGGATTTGCCAGGGTCTCCTTTCTCCCTTCCTGCTCGTGGTGGGAGCAGCGGGGCACCACCTTCCTTGTCCTGGGTGTTGTCGCTCCTGTCACTGCTGCTAATGCTGCTGCTGCCCTGGCACCACCTCTGGGAGGCACTGCACCACAGGTGTGCCAGCTACTCCCCACAGCAAAGGCAGGCGGGAGCTCATTCTGCCTTCTGATGGATGGGCAAACAGAGGCTCAGGAGGATGAAAACAGTTGTCCAAAGGAGCGGCAGGACGGAATGCCAGCCCGGGTGGGCCAGGCTTTCCTACAAGGCTGTGTCGCTGCATACCCTGTGTTGTGCAGTTAGAAACTATTTATTGTCCCTTCCTTGATCTTCACTAGGTGCAATTATCCTAGTCTCTTATCCTGCTTCCTAACCTGTAACTTGGTGCCCATCAGGAATGGTTACCATTCCCTCACCCTGGGAGGAAGGAGCACGTCACTGATATTCTCTGCATAGCTGAGATCTGGCCTTCTAAGACAGTTGGGGACAGGAGAGTGAAAGCCTGGGTGACACTGTCAGCTCCCACATTTCTTTGAGGGGCCATCTGGTTGGATGGGGCCAGGGAGGCTTCTCTAGCAGCTGTATTTCAAAGAAATCACAGTTTGCCTGTAGACGATGCATGCATTTGAGTTGGCTTGTAGGGAAGGGGCTGCCTATGACGTCAGAGGGCTGTACTTAAAGAATACCCCCGACACCACCAGGCTCGATGCTGTCACTCTAATTGTGCTAACAATTATTCTGATGGAATGCTCAGAGGGTTGGGTTTCCTGACAGCTCTAGGTGTGGGGAAATCCGCTGAGCCGTTGCCACGGTTCATAATAGGGAGTGAGAAAGGAGCACATGTAAGTCACAGCGCATGTAAGCTGCAAACTGTGCCCTGGCCCATCACACTATGACACATAAAGGAGCACTGAGCCAAATGAAAGTTGAGCGACACCATTACAGCAGGAGGGATGTCCCGGCTTCCTCGGGCAGAATCTCCACTGATGGATCCCAGCATTTTGCACTTATAACCCAACACTTCGCTTCTGGGTCATTGTGGATCAGAAGATAAACGGTGCTTTTCATGTTAGGATGTCCAATTTCAGAAACTAGACTCATTCCTGGTTTAAAGCACAGTTTGTGTTTCAGTTCTCTAGCCCGTGGCCTGGGTAAAAAGTCTATTTTGTTTTTTTCTGAGCACTTATCTAATTCAGAGATTTAGGTTTCTAAGTCAAAATAACCTTATTCAAAGAAATCACAATCCATCTCCTAACAAGGAGTAATGGTAAATGTCAGCTGCTGCCTCTTACCTCCCCCGCCAGTGAGGGAGCCTTTGTGAGCCTGCATACTGGACAGCCCTCCTTCACTTGGGGCAGCAAGGTGGACACGTGACGTTTCCTGGACACAAGGGTGATCAGGCCAGATGTGCCAACACCTCATGGTTCTCTCCCTACTTGCCGCTGCGTCGACAAAAGTTGTCCAATCTCTAGTCTGTGTCATAAAGGGTGAAACTTCCCTCTACCTTGGTCAGTCACACTTTGTCCTGTTGGTGGGGACACAGGGAACCACCACCCGGCAGAGAGGGTGCCCGCCACAGGCAGCAAGCTCCTGCTTTGTTTCTTTTGATTATCATTTATTTACTCACTTAGTAAGTGTTACTGACCACCCACCAGGCTAAAGGCACTGTCCATAGAGCTGGAAATGAAAAGAGAGAGAGAGAGAGGAAGGAAAGAGAGAAGAGAGGGAAGGAGGGAGGAGTCCAGACAAACTCCTTTCCTCGGGCTGGGGCTGTGACTCCGCGGTAGCGCTTGTCTCACACACGTGGGGCACTGGGCTCGAGCCTCAGCACCACATAAAAATAAAGAAAGAAAATAAAGATACTGGGTCCATCTACAACTAAAAAAAAAAAATTAAAAAAAAAAAACTCCTCTCCTTATGGACACTGCAGTCCTTCGTCTCCAGGAAGTGGTCTTGATGGAGTTCCTGGGGCCTGGCTTCACTGATGAGAGGAGGTTTTATAAAACATTTCGCCTGGACTTCGCATGCTGGGGAGATAGCAGAAACACATTCTAGCCTGAGAAATTGTGTGAATGGTCTCTGAACTTAAGCAACAATTTGCAGCTGAATTCCACGGCACAGACTGGAAGAGTGACCGGACAATGTTTCCTTGGAACACAGCGGATAAGTCAGTAACATCATCACAAGTGTGCAGCCACTTGGGGGGCAGTTAGGGAGTCGGGTGGAGTTGGCAGGCCAGCCTGGAGCCTATTGCTGTGTCCAAGACAAAAAATAAGAGGGCAGCAGTAGAAACTGCGCGGGTGGGACAGTGCAGCCAGTGCCCAGGCAGCATGAAGCAACCAGACGCTGCCAGGTATCCTGTGTCCCTCAGCAGTTAATTGTGGTACCTTCTAAGGGGCCTGGGGAGCGTCCATGTGAAGCCAACCCTGGAAACATTAAAGTGGGCTCAGATGGACAGGCAGTTGTGGGTCAGAAACCCTCTTTTGAGAGACTATGATGGGGCAGGGCATAAAAGCATCAGGGAAAACAATTAGGAGAGGGAATTCTGCTGGGAGAGCGACTCCGCCATGTTCTTCCTCTTCTTCCAAGCGAGCTTAGCCTCCTCTCAAAGTGCCCTGCATCAGCATGTGCTTCTGCGCCCTGCTTACCCAGTCACCCAGTTCAAGCTCAATACTTTCTTCCCTGCCTGGCTATTTGTCCACCAGAGGCACAAGTCTGCCCATCTCGTTCCCGCCAACACTTTAAACAGGCTCACTAGCTGGTGCTTCAGAACAACAGGGGGTCTGTGTTTACAGGCTCCACAACCTGGACAGACAGTCACACGGAAGGCAGAGGCCTGCCTGGAGCAAGAGGCAGGAGAAGACAGCAGGATCTCCCGTCTCTCCATCTCTGTTTAGGTGCATCTGAGCGTGGGAAGTACCCATTATGCCCTTGTCCCCTAGTGACCCCACCCCAAGTGGTTGGGGACACTGCCCTCAGCAACAAGCTGGGCTCTCAGCTACTCTTACAGGTGGTGTGGGAGAACTGATTAAGTCATGGCCCTTTGTCTTTCCTCTAGTCTGGAACACAGATGAGAAGGTAGAGGGTCCAGCAGCCACCTTTGGCTCTGAACTATGTTGAGACAGAAGACACATTCAGGAAATTTATGTTAAAAAGTAGAAATCCAATTCTCCTACAACTTCATCAAGCCCTTGGACTTGCTAATAGCCACATTGCTTCCTCCCAGCCTTTCTTTTGCAGAAGAAAATATTAAACATCTGTCTTGCCCAGGCCCGTGTTACACTGGGTTTTCTGTACATGCAACCAAACGTGATGGTGCCTGCGGGAAACACTAACAGCAGTGTGTGCGTTCCCAGGTTCCCCGGGGTGATGCTCTGAGGACCCAGGCCTGGCTTCTCAATAGTCCCCACAGCAGCCCACAGATGCAACACAGACAAGAGGGAAGACCAGGCCTGATATTTTCAGCATTCTGTAATCACTCACAGTCTTGTGCAATTCAGTCTCTCTGGTGTCTTTTAAATTACCATTCAAAAATAAAGCACTCATGTAATACAAGTGAATTTTGATAAAATTACATGTGACCATTCCTATTTGAGTTGATAGAGCTCTTTCTTTTAAAAAGGCTGCATTTCTTCTGTTCTTATAGAATTAAAGTCTTTACTTTTCATTTGTTACAAGTTGAATTTTCAGGTTGATAAAATATCGTTACAGAGGTTTACCACTTGGGACTTAATGCCAAAAAAAAAAAAAAGCTTAAAAGTTCTAAATGCTAGGTTTCTTCTTTAGGAATGGAGAGGCTTTTTTTTTTTTTAATGCAAAAAGCTGTGAGGCTTGTCTGCATTGAAGTTCGTCCCTCTCCTCCAGTGGCTTCATCTTGAGGCTCAAGCATCCACAGGTACTCCTGCCTGTGAACCCAGACGAAAAGGAAAGCGGCCATGATCATTTGAGCATTCTGTCTTCACGCCCACAGCATTTACAACTTGCTGAGCCACTCCTCAGAAGATGAAGCACAGAATCCTCAAAGCCACCAGGTTCAACGCACTCATTTACTATTCTTAAAAAATATCCATGACTGGCTGTTCTTGAATGGCCTGTTTGTGGCCAGCTCCCATCCAAATTATGACCTTCTGGAGGGCAAGGTCCATCTCTGAGAGATGTATCGGTTCTAAATACTATGCCAGACTACCACATCTACCTCCAAATAACCTTACCCAGGGGTCTTAACCACTGAGCCACATAGCCACATCTTTTTTATCTCAAGACAGTGTCTCACTATGTTGCTTAGGGCCTTGCTAAATTGCTGAGGCTGGCCTTGAATTTGCAATCCTCCTGCCTCAAACTCCTGAGTTTCTGTGATTACAGGTGTGCGCCACCACACCCCCCTACAAATGACATTTCTGAAGGCCAGCCAAGTAGGGTTTCTTGTCTAAAGTCAAGTAACAAATAGGAACCACCAAGCCTGAGGCTGAACTGCAGTCCTCCGTTCTCCCAGCCAGGCTTCCTAAGATGCTCCTCAGCACTGAGTACACACTTGGAGGGCTGATGCTGCTTATTCAGGTTGGTCAGAAGGTACCCTGGCTTAGGAGGTCATCCCAAAGATGACATTGCCTTTGACATCGCTCGTGTTACCCCATGATCAGCTCTGATCTCTTCCAACCATACAGAGATTTTGCATTGGTTCTGTTTTTCCTTTTGCTTCCCCTGTTCTCCCCTCTGACCTGTTCCTCTGTCTAAGAGATGAGCTTTCTGCTCATGATTAGGTTTTTGCTGCCTATTTTCCTGGGCACACTTGCTTCCCCAGTGGAAAACTCTAAGGGATCAAATACTCTATCGACACTTTCTCAAAAATGAAAAACATGGTGCCAGGGTTTATTGACAAACATATTTGTTAAAATATCATGGAAGTGTCACAAGATTGTCTCCTAACCACTACTAGCCATTATAACATTTATTCTCTGTACTCAATAATAAATTTGCATTCATTCTTAAATAGATTATCATAAGATTATAATAAATAGGTCATGGGAAATGCTACTAAAAAGTCTCACTGAATTTGTATGAGGAGTTTTGCTTTATGGCTACCAAACACCAAGTCTTTACTCTTGTGAGGAGCTTATTTGGTTCTTCAAGCATACAGAGGCCCCAAATCACTATTTCTTTAGGTTGAAACTGTGCTAAAAAAAAAAAAAATCACATTTTACTTTTTTCTCAAAAATTATTCACAAATTATTAACAATTTCTTCCTCTCATGGGCGTGTGTGAAATTCTGTGCATGTTTTCCCTGATGGGAGTTTTAATTGTCATTTTATACATTTGAAGCCTGGGGCTCTAAGCAGTTCTGTTTACCCGGGGTCACTGGATGGCAAGTAACAGACCCTGGATACGCTGAATGCAAAATCTGCATCTCTAACTACGGGTTAGCAGCCTTCCCAGAGTCAAAGCAGCATTAAGTCACTTGGTCAACTGTGCGGGCCGCCGTGTGGCCCACGTGAGGCAGAGGAGGGCTGAGAGACCCTGGCGCACAGCCCCGGCCTCCCACCCTGCTGCCACGCTGCCGCAGCTGCTGGAGCTGGGTTGGGACTCGAGTGGACGCTCAGAAAGCAGATGCCCTCACCATTCTACCACCACACAGGGGCCGTTTGTGTAAACAAAAGGTTAAAGAATCCTGCTGGAGCCTTTGTAAACAGGAAGCCTCAGAGAACTTTAACCTACACACTAGCATCTCAATGCCACCTACTGGTCCAGATGGCCGCTTGGGGACAGCAGAGGTTCAGGGGCAGCAAAAAGCAGAGCAGAGGCCAGAAATGAAAGAGCCAATTCTCCATTCTTGGGTGAGTCCCCAGAGATGAACACAGTGACCTTGTTCCCACTCAGCTGTCCTGCCCCTCCCCCTCCGGAACACCCCACCCCAGGACTTGCCCCTGGAAATGCTCCTTCGTCAGAGCTTGCTGGAGGTGGCAAGAAAAGACACAACCTCCAGCTGACCCTTTGAGAGATACGTTTTGCTGTGGTTTTGCAAACTAGACAGCAGTTTCACTATCACAATAAGCTGCAGTTGGGCTTTTGTTTTCTGGGACTTTTTCCCTCATCGTTAATCACTCAGTCACCATAAACGAACACTTTTCTGATGCACCCAGGACAACCTGAGCCGCCCTGCCCAGCGTGGAGGGAAGGTCTCCGGACCTGGGAGGTGCCGGCTGCACTGGCCCGGGGCGGCCCTTGCCCTTGTGGATGAGAAGGGAGCACAGGCCATCCCGCCCACCCTCAGAACTTTACTGCTCCAAGGTGAAGGACTCTAGGTCAAATTTCCACTCAAAGAGGTTCTAGGAGTACTCGGAGGGCTGACCTACCTTCCTCTGGTAGTTTCAGCAGAAAGTGGCCTGTTCTTCCAGCCTGCGTGCTCCACCGTCACGTCAGGGGGTCACCCCGATGCTTCCACCATGGGCAAAGTGCTTGCTCTTGCTCATTTCTGAAAATTTCTGATTATAAAATTAGTTGGTGGATGGAAGTTACTGAAGAAATTTCTAACACTTTTAAGGCTTGGCTTAAGTCCATAGTTTGTTTCACTTTATTCTTGTTTCAGAGAAAACACGATGTAAGATGGTCTTTGGAATGTCTTTCTATCTAAAATCAGTCTAAACAAGGGAGAGTCATTGTCATTTCTTCTTCGGTGGTGACAGTCTCACCACTAATTTCTGGGCTGCTGAAGCAATCACTAGACTCATGATCATCCTCCCAAAAGGTCTTGGTGTTTCGTGTGGTGCCTGCTTTTAGTATGGCTTTTTTTATATTCAACATGTTTCATTGGAAAGAAGAATTTCAAAGTATTTAGCAAGATTTTTAAAAATCAGATTTAAATATCAACATAGACATTAAATAGTCATTTGTTCTGTAAACACGGAGCTTTGACATATCTCATTTAAACTTGACCAGTAAACTTGTGGTGCAAGCACTTATTTTATCTACAAGGAAACTGAAACTGATATATGATGATTGACTGTTTCAAGGTCACAGATTGACAGTGCCATCTAGTATGAGGGTTTTGACCCTGAATCCAAACCACTTTGCAGAAGTGTGGTAAGACCAGAGAGGGAGGGATTCTGCTGGTCCTCAGCAGTGAAGGAAGATCTGTGGAGGAAACAGATCTTGAAGAATGGATAGAGTAGTGTAGAAGATGTAGCCAGGAAACCGAGTGGCAGGTGCATGTTGCATTTCCCACACCTATTTGTTCAACGAGGGAAGAAAGAATGAAGGAGTAGGGAAGCTGTCGGAGATCAGGAAAGTAATCCAAGAAGGTATGAAAGTGAACCTTGCCCGGGTGTGTGCAGGGGTGATGAGTAGGGCATGCTGGGGTGAGAAGAGAAGAGATAAGCAGGAGGTGGGCCAGGAGGGCACCCTGGAATTGAGGAGGCCCAGGAGGGCATGGAGGGCCAGACTGAGCAGCCTCGACGGCCAGGTAGCTGAGGTCAGGGCTTCATTGCTACTGACCAAGGAACGGCATCCTAGAGCCGAGACAAAGGGAGATCAGTGACAACAACTTGTAGGAAGCAACTTGACCAAATCCAGAATCTTAGGAGATGAGCCGGGCATGGTCAGGAGGGTTGTGATGATCCTGATTTTAAGAAGTTTGACCCTCCCTCTCTCTAAAGGTCTTGTCAGCTCTTCCCATTGGTGAGGACCAGCATGGCTGGAAGGGATGAGGAGAAGGAGGGGACGAAAAGGGAGAGGAAGGTGAAGGAGGAGGAGGAGGAGGAGAAGGAAAGGAGAGGGAGAAAGAGGAGGAAAATAAAAATTGCCTTTAAATTTTCCATCCTTGATTTGTGCCCTAAGACGTCTATCACATTGTCACTCTTTCCATTAGGGCTGTTAAACTAATCAGTAGGCTTTACTAAAACGTTATAAAATTTTTGTTACAAGAACAATTAAATGAAGTCATTTCCTATGTCTAAAATGATCAAATATGTTTCTGAAACTAGGAAATGCAGGCTATGATAAAAAATATAGCTATAATGAAACTTCATGTCCTCTCGATTTTATTATAAAATATTTCCTTTTTGCATTCTTAATTCAAAGCAATAAAATGCTGATTTGGTTGAAAATAAAATTTGGAAAAATCCCTGAACTGTAGGAAGCTTGTCACTCTGATGGGTGTGTTACTCACTGGAACAGCATTTCAGCTGTTGGAGCGTACTGAAAGGAATTAGATTTAGCCTTGCCAAACTTTCACTGTGAAAGAGTTTGCTATAACAGTGTTTTATTATATTCTTATTGAACTTCAGCCAGTTGAAAATAGAATCTCCTCACCATCCTTTTAAATTAGCCTTAAACTGCAGACAAAAGACAAAAATCGATGCTCAAATTTAGTTCTTTGCTCTTGGTTCCTTAAGAAATTTACCCTGTTGCTAATATGCAGGACTCAAAGATCATGGAACAGAGAGTGCCTGGAGTTTTAAAATAGCATTTCTTGCTTAATTTAAGTCTACTTAAGTGTCCACCAAGTCCTGTGCACAAACTGTTCCTTTGATGCCACGGGTTCCATTGAGTCTCTAAACCTGTCACAGTGATGGTGTACTGAAATCATCTCTAGTACAGTTCCTGCGGCCATGACAAATTGTGGTAAAATTCTGAGTATCAAACTGTAATGAAGACTGTAAGAGAATAGTAGTGCCTAAATAATGATACAGTCTATTTAAATATTACATTTCATTAAGAATTGCAACCGAGGGGTTGGGGCTGGGGCCTAGTGGTAGAGCAGTTGCCTCACACATGTGAGGCACTGGGTTCCATCCTCAGCACCACATAAAAATAAATAAATAAATAGATAGATAGATAGATATTGTGTCCATCTACAACTAAAATAATATTTTAAGAAAAGAAAGAATTGCAAGGAGTTTGGAATACACAACAACAACAACAACAACAAAAGAGCACACACGGTATCATTTCCATCGGCCACTCCAGGTTTATGCTGCTATTCCTCCTAAGAGCTATGGTCTCAGCTCCTAAGTTCTTTTTAGTGAAAAAATAACTAAGAGTGAGCATCTAATGGAGAGGAGCCAACTCAGAGCCTCACATCACTGACAGTCCACACTCTGCAGGAGGCCTGTCCATCCATCAGGCAGGGGAAAAGGGCTTTGCCTGACTTCAGGGAAAGACGTGTCCAGGTGCCAGAGACACAGAGCATGGGCTGAGCATCCTGCACCGGCCACCTGCCACGGCACAGACACCAACAGCAAGAAGAGAACAGTCTGATTACCCTCGGAGACTTGGGGCGCATGGAAATGGGGCAGTGGAAACCAGGCAGATCATGGAAGATTTGCTTTGTTTTCATCACATGATACCTTTAAGACCAGAAGGGCTGAAGCAGTGCGATTTGCAGAAACCCCCCAAAGTGATGGATTTAGCATGCCACGGTCCATGCAGTAGAAGCCGTCCCTCCCCAGGGAGGGGAGGATCCTCCCAGCACGTCGGGCAGCTGGGCGACAGGCACAAAGGCCTGAGATGAAGGAGGAACGAGCCCGCTCCAGGAGTGTTGTCACAATCGATTTTTACTGAAAAAGTAAGTGGGAACAATTGGCCAGAATAAGCCTGAGCTGTAACAGAAAATGAAACTAAAAAAGAAAGACCAGGGCCTTGTTATAAAACAATCCACATAATTCCCTCCACACGGATCCATCTTAAGAGGAGATTCTGAGACCAGGACCCAAGGTGGGGCCTGAACAAGCCTCAGAAAGGTATAGGAGGTCATCGGAACCTGGCTTTTCAAACCCACAGGGCCTCGTGCTATTAAATGCCGCTGCTCTCACAACTGGCACTTTTTACTGGGGAGATACCAGCCATTTTTTAGGGGAATATTAGATGATCTAAAAAATTCTTAAGGAAAAGAACATTTTGAGAGTCCACACCTAAATCAGGGGCCTAGTCCAGAGTCTTATTCCTAGCTTGTAGGATACTGGGAGAAATAACTATGCTGTCAACGTGCTATCACATAAACTCCTCAACTCAGCCACGGCTGTAGTGGGAATGAACTTCACCGGTGCCAAGTTGGAGGACAAAATTAAATGTTATGTATCTCAGTTTAATCTCCTGGTTCAGAGGCCTCATGCTGCCCAAGTGGGTGAGTCAGGGCACATCTCGGTCAATGCAGGTGGGGAACTTGGTCACATTTGGGTTCAGAGTTCTTCCCTGGGTTTCCTCTCCCACTTCTGACCCCACCCCCATCTAATCAAAGCCCAGCCAAGCACCCCCACTCCCAGGCAGCAGTAGGGCGAGCTGCCCACCTCTGTCTCTTTCAGTCCAGCATAGACAGAAGGCACACGAGGCTGCTCAGTGGGGACAGCCACCTGTGGCCTTCACTCAGCTCTTACCTCGGCTGGCAGGCTCCGGCATCCCGAGAGCACGCACACCTATGGCCTCCTAGAATCGCAAATGGGTTGCTAGCCTGGAGTTTGGGCTGTGTGTCCCCTTCTCGGCAGTTTTTCAGATCCCACCCCTTGCACTGAGAACACAGCCCCAGGTAGTTCCAGCATAGCTCCCTGGTGGCACACGCTGCTGCCAACAGTCTGTAGAGGGGCTGGTCAAATTCCCTCTACGCTCAGATCTCCCACAGAATTCTGGAGGAGTTCCCCCATGTTCCCCTGCTCCCCACACCCCCACCCCCACCTGTAATTGGAGAATTCACCTCCTTCCTCATGGAGCTGGTGCGTGGAAGACACACCTTGCCGGTCAATGCCCCAGTTGAATCACTACTGTTTTATATCCTCACTAAGAATTTGGGTATTGACTCCACGGGTCCACTTCTAGCCACCTCATCTGGACATATCCTGTCGCATGGCCTACGTGCAGGTGCACATTTCAAACCGCTGCTGTGTGACAACCCCACTCCCAGCCCCACCTCACAAACTAAAAGATGACAACGTTCCTTGGTATCAACTTAGTTGGCTATAACTCAACCTGGCAAATATTTACTAACCCCCATGCCATTCCCGCCTGCAGGTACCCTTCCACTCCAACTCCTGGTTGGCACAGACAAGGGCATATTTAATGAGATTCCATTCTCCACCCTTCTCAATTTTCACATGATAACTTTGAGGCTTGTTATTGGGCACTCTCTCCTTGGATTCTGTGCCACCAGATTCCTATCCCTTGGCTCCCCCCGATTTGCACTGTCTGCTCATCTCCCTTCATCTGCTCTGTGGTTACAGCTGCTCCTCAGTAACGGGGCTCCACACTCTCCTTGGTGACTTCATCCATTTTCACTTTAATGTCAGTGGTTCCCAAATCTATTTTTCCTAAAAGCCCGTGGTCTCTTGAACATAAAGCTCATGTTTTCAACTGTATCTCAGACACCCCAAACTCAGTATGGCCACCTTCCTGGGGCTTTGTTCAGGCCCCACCTTGGGTCCTGGTCTCAGAATCTCCTCTTAAGATGGATCCGTGTGGAGGGAATTATGTGGATTGTTTTATAACAAGGCCCTGGTCTTTCTTTTTCAGTTTCACTGTCCACCTCCCACACCTACTCTTCCCATTCTATGTCCAGTATTTGTCCACTTCGCCCCCTCTGCTGGAACCTCAGCGCCACCTTGGATGCCACCCTCACCCTTTCTGTCCAGTCTCTCAGTCGGGCAGTGCTGTCTGTGAGGGGCTCTGTCCTACTCCGCTCCTGCCAGTGCCATCACCTGGGTTCAGGACTCTCCTCCTCTCTGCCAGAGTTGTTGAAAAAGGCTCCGCTTCCCTCTCCTTACACGCATCCTCACACTGCCAAGGGTTGCCCTTCTGCACACCAGATCTCCTGGTGCTGCTTGGAGACGCCCGTTGCCTGCAGAGCCATGCCGAACTTGCCTGCTGATTTCCCAGCCCCGTGCTCCATTTCCTACTTGACCTAATGGGTCTCCACATACCAGAAAAAAAAAAAAGGCTGGGGAGTTTCATGCCTCCATGATTTACCAAATCCCTGCTCAGGGTCCTCCCTCAGTCACTGTGGCTCCCTGCAGCCAGCTCTGCCATGCTCGTGGCTCCTGTCGACGCCCTGCCCCGTGTTACCTGAAGAAGCTCCTTGGAGGTGGGAACGCTCTCCTATTCACCGTCACGTTCCCTGAGCCCCGTGCAGGCCTCCCACTCCCTAGACACTGATAAATGTCCACCTAATTGTCCTTCTCAGCCGGGTTGGGGTTGGCGTGTTTGTATCTTCTCCTGAATGAACTTATGTGATCTGTGCACACAGAGTCCCCAGGCAGCTCCTGGATTGCCTCATAACATCTGGAGGACAGGGGCCCTGAGTCCACCATATGTGTGTAGAAAATCCCCCATAGTTATTTTCCCTGTCTTCTATGCAGTAGATGCTTAGTCAGTATTGAAGTGATTTGTTCTTATATAAATTGTTTTGATGACAGTTGATGCCCTGAGCCTATGCCTGATCAACATGAGTGATTACTAACTCGGAATCAAGATATAGATATTTAAGCCCCTAAAGCTACAGTAGAGGTGACCTGGTTAAGACAAAAAATTTGACACCATTATGCAAAGTAAGCATGTACTCAGGTTCTTCCAAAATGCTGTTCATTTGTGGGCATTTACCAAGAACAATTAGGGAATGTACACTAGAATCTGAAAAACAACTTTCACATTTTTATCCATCTTGTTAAGTGATCAATATTTTTTCATTATAAAAAGTAGACATCCTTGTAGCCTAACAAGACATGAGAAGATAATTGTTAAAAAAAAAATGGCAAAGATGGTTGGGGAGTGGTGGAATGGAATGATACTTCAGAAAACATTTTGCCAAAACAAATTCAAATGGAGATTTAGAATTCATGTAGAAAGCTCCTTTGTACGATCAAAGGAAGCGTCAGCCGTGCTGCTGAGTTCCATGTCTAACATAATTTTGTTGGCGAGAAGTCAGGCATGATATGAGCTGATAAGAGCTTTGCTCACAAATGCATAATAGCTGCAACGGCTAATTCTGGTTTAAGACAGTGCAATTCTGTAAGTGGACATTTAACCAGTTTGTTAGTACAGTATTTTAAGAACCTCTTACAGAACAATAGAGAAACGAATTACCTATCACTGCTGACCAGGCATTTATTACACAATGTATTGGAGAATAATAGAAGTGGGTTTTTATGCCTTGCTCATTTATTATCTAATACCTTTTAAGGCTGAATGTCATTGCCAATTATTATTGTGGCAAGTGCTCCAATTGACTTTCAGTTTACCGATTGCCATTCTCTCCCACATTCCCTATTATGTGAAACTGTGCCACATTCTATTTCATCTTCTATTAGAAATTTTGCACCACAGCCTCCCCGCCAGCTACCTCCATTTGGATGTCTTTGGGGAGAGATACAAATGAGTTTTGTGAAAGTGTGTTTACACGCAGCCGTCAGCCTTCAGCATCAATAGACAGTCAGCTGCTCCCGGTGCCATGAGCCCACTGCCCGTGACTGACAAGGGCCTGCATTCACTGTCCCTGTTTATGTAGATGCTGGTGCACTGGTCACCCCAGGACATACCGTTTGCTGCTGCTCAGTTCATGCATAGTCAGGCTCCCAGGTGGCCCGTCACTTACTTTTGTAGGTCAGCTCTGGTAACACCACGAAGCAGTATAATTCATCTAGATGAAGTAGATGCAACAGAATTCAAAAACACAGATCACTCCAAGCAGACAAGGCCAATTCAATAGACAAAAGCAGATTTCTCCTGCAGGTCTTAATAAAACAGCTGGGTCCAGATTGCACTATATTCTCGTTCCTTTCCAAATAATTGGCAAATGAAGAAGACCAGCTCATCGCCACCCTTACAGAAAGTTCTTAATCCACAGGCCTCACCAACAATGACTCTTTAGTGGCCAATTCAGAGGCAGGAAACTTGCCTAAACATACATAGAATTTCAGATGAAGGCAAAATCATTCCTAAGCTAAACCTGAAGTCCCCAAACACCTACCTGTGCATTTGCTCTTTGTAAGGACAGCTGTAAAGATGAGCCCCGGCAGCAGCAGTCTGCCTTGAGCCAAATGCTTAAAAGTAAAGTTTCTGCAGTGAGAACACAGGTCAGGGAGCAACCTGATCAGTGCCAAGGCTGCCCTGGGTCAGGCAGACCCCCAGGAAAGGCCTGGGCTGTAGAGCAAAGAGCCCAGGAAGAACTGCTGAGGGCCAAGGGTCCCCCTGGAGCTTACCTAAAGTCCTGCCCAGCAGCCCAAGGGACTTTAAATTCAGGCTTGCTTGTGTGTGAATTGCTTTCTTTAGGTAAAAATGACCTATTTTCTACTTCTGACTGGACTTCAATGTCAAAACTATTTATGAGAATAAAAGTGAATGAGAACAATCAAACCCCTCAGTTTAGAACCCACAGCCCAGAACTGGACCTGGGCACATGTGGAGTGCCTCATCTTCTGCTCAAGGCCAAGCACGTGTCCTGTAAGGTGACCCCAAAGAGAAGCCGAGAGCCACTCCACATTGCCCTCTGACTACCTCCATCCTGCTTTGCCTGTTGCCAATGGAGCCCACGGCAGCCGCACCAAGGCTCGTCCCCCACTCATGGCTGCTGTCCCACACCACACATTGCCCACCCTCTCAGAAGCAGTCCAAATTAGAAATGCCCACCTACTGTTTGAAATATTAAATCCCCACCTAATATATTTAAGATATTATTATTTAGTGGCTTAAAAATGCTGCTCCAATTTAAGTTAGAGAAGGGATTATTAATCAACCCTAGTGCAGGAATACAGCAGAAACCATGAAGGAACGTGAACACCATTTCCTAAATCATCTACCTGGTGGTCACTAGTACCGTCAAAGTGCAAAGTAAATAAAATAATATTAATAATTTTTAAAAAATAACTAAATTCACCATCTTTCCTTCCATGGCTCCAACCGAATGTCCTCAAATGCCCTCCCAGCCTCAAAATCAAAGGTCTGTGACAGACCCCGCCAGCCTCGCCTTCATGTCATCTGTTGTCCCCTCTCTGGTCCCCCTTCCTTCTGTTCTAACTCTCCGGTGCTGGGGAGGCGTCTGTCCACATTTCCTCTCCCCACTCTGGCGCCTTTGCTGGATGCTGGCTTCCCCCTGCCCTCCCATGCCTGAGGGCCACATTCTGGGCCATCATCTCTACCTTCTGTAGCCTGAGTGCTCCCTTCCCTGTAGGGAAGGTGTTCACTTAGGTCAAGGTGAGGTGCCTTCTAGCTCTAGGGTTTTACAAGAACCTCTGCTTCTCCCTGGACTGGTGTCTTCCACTCCTCTTGGATGGGATCTGAATTAGACAGAATCAGAGGCATTTCCATCCATCTTTTTTCCCCTCCATAATAGTCTGTCATAGGAAGGGCGTGTTCCCTGGTGCTCGCGTTGGCTGTGTCTTACACCCATAGTGGACTGTGAGCTCCTTGAAGACGGTCCCACTCCCCTCTCCACGTCCCCTCCCAGCCCGCGCCTGTTGAATTGGTTTCAATTAATTCCGTTTGTAACTGAATCAAGCAAGGGATGTCACAAGCTTGCTTTTATAAGTAAAGAAAGCACGGTTGTGCAGCTGTCCAGAGTCTGGGGGATGGGGAAGAAGACAGGGAGAACCCCCAGAAGGCAGCTGAGTGCTGGTCAAACCAGGTGCAAGTTGGGCAGCACTGTGTAGTGAATGAAGGAAAATAAGATGCCTGGTGAAACAGAGGACCAGCGCTCTTGCAATGAACCTTAAAGTATTATTTTTACAAAGAATACAAGGAGCATTTCAGCTCCCTTGTTGACTGATTCGTATGTTCTTCCTACAGATACTTTCAGAAAAAGGCCCATTGTTTGTTTTCCTCCTGGTGACACAGTAGCCATTGTTTACAACTGTAATCACAGCGCACATAGCTGCAAATGTGGGCTCTGGGCGCTGGAGCTCCCCCTCTGGGTGTTCAGACAGTGAATACTGTGTTCTTTATCTCTTATCACAGCTCTTTTGTCAAATATTTCAGGATTTTTTCCCCCAGACAAATTTGTAGTTTGTTATCAACCATAAAAATGTCTATTGCCTTGCTTTTAAACATTTAAACTTTGGCATGTATGTCTCAAGATGAGCATGAATTAAGTTGTTATTTCTTTTTAAATACAATTTTTATTCCACTACACTAAAGCTAGATTTCTTTGATACATACAGCTCGGTGGAGTTCTCTGGAGGCTCCACAAAGGTGTCTATTATTTTGAATGTTTTCACCTCCGAGGGGACATGGTTATGTCTCCCGGCTCCCAGGTGGGGTTTGCAGGAAGCATCTGTCAGGCATTGGACAGGTGCAGACATCTGTAACTTTCTGCAGCATGTGGCCATCATTATATGTCCTGCATAGGAAAGCTATGACACCTTCTCCACTCCTGGGATCTCCATTTTTCCAAGTGCTCAAGTCTTCTTACCATTCTATTTCATAGACCTGACCCGACAGCCTGTGGAAAAGAAAAGCCTTTTTAAAAAACCTAATAAATAGCAATGTATTTTCTGGTTTAAAAATCACAATATGTTGCCTGATGCAGACATTTGAAGCCTTTAACACAAATGAAGGTTTATAACAAAGAAATCCAATAAATCTCAAACACATCAGCATGTAACTTCAGGGCAATTTTAAACTATACACTTTTTAAAGTTCTACAAAAAGTCTTAATGTGACACTTTATATGTTTATGGATATAAATTTAGGAAATATATTTTGTGTTTTAAACATTTCAGAGAGATTTCCCTTACTGAGATGGGCAGGATGAAAATGAGTGTCAGTCTTTAAGTGCCTGGAAGGAGAAACTCTGGTTTTGTTTCAAACTGGTTTTTGAGAGCAGATTAACCTTTTAAGGGTGAGGTGTGAAAGTTGGGGTTAGTAGTTTTTCCATGTTCAAGGTGTGTTGCATTAATCCCCACATGGATTGTGGGAAACCGTCAAAACCCTCAAGGGGACAATTCTTTCCAGAAGCTGTGGACCAGAAATTATGGGACAGGCAACTCTGAAGAATCCAGACACGCTGTGGGAACCTGTCAGCCTGGCAGGGGGCTTCTCGGAAACTGGACGGACAATACTTAGGAAAGATGGGGACACCTGGAATTTTAGCTGAGGACTTTCAATTTTGTTTGAATTTGATGACTTCTCCTCAAAGATAATTTTCGAAGTTTCTGTATTCAAAGTTAAAAATCTCATGAGCACCTTGTAAATTGTAATTCCTAAAAGAATTTCACATAAAAATGTATTTTAAATGTAGTATAAATGTTGAACACGTTGAAAAAAAAAATAGAACCAGACTTTCTCCAATCCATGTTGGACTGGTAGACTCTTCCGTAGCACAAATCCCATTCAACCACAGAGCAGGCCTCTGGGATGGAGCTCCTGGGTTAGTCGCACAGATTCAGCAGTCCTTTCTGCGGAAAAGAAGCCATGGCCCGTGTCCTGGTGGCTTCGTTCTCTGCTTTCGACTTCCCAGAACTTATTTGGATTCTCCCTTTCTGTCCCCATCCCTCCTTCCCGGCCATCTGTCTCGATTTCTTTATTTCCATCTGACTGTCCTTCCCCAAGAAGGAAGCCTCAGGTACCCAAGGCTGGCAGTCGTCCGGTTCCTCCATCCAGAGCCACGTGCTGACCACCCACCCAGCAGGAAGCAGGTGGAACTGGTCGTTCAAGCTGGAAAGCAGCCAGAGGTCAGACGTGGTTGGGGCCTCACAGGGCATTCTTCTCTGCAGAGGCCGGCTTTTCCTTTTTTAGGGTGTGGCTGCACCACACATCCAAATAGCCTTTCCATCAAGGCATCAGTGTCCAAGTATTTGGAGCTACTAAAATTAGTTCTAGCCATTAGAATGTGCCGGCCTGCTTGGCCAGGAGGAATTCGCCTGGCTGTGGACCTGAGTGAGGGCCGACTCACTCCCAGCGTGCTCCCTTGCACCCTTTCTTACCCTCCTGCGGTACTCTCTCGGTCCTCAGTACATCTTGCAGGATAACACATGGGGTGTTCCGAGTGTTTCCCTTGGGCTTGCAGAACAGGGTGCCATGGCTCTTCTGCTTCCTGAGGCTGGTTCTCTTCCTGTGAACCTGGGTTTGGAGTTGACTTGCAGAGGGAGTCCACTTCTGTTGACCTCAGCTCCTACTGGGATCAGAAAGGGCGATGTCTTCAAAGGGAACAACTGAAGGACTCTATCCACAGACAAGAGAAGCATTTGGGATGTCCACCCACTCCAAGGCCTCTCCTCTGGGGTACTCTCAACCTTACATAGATGCCTGGCCTTTGCTTCTTTTCCTATTTCTTTGTAATGAACCCAAGCGAATACTATTGAAGAACAATTTAACCTCGTGACTCGCTGACCACAGTTCCAAGTCTCTCCCTTGGTTTTGGTCCTACTTACTTGGTAAATCTGACCCTGGAAGCTATTCATTCTGTCCAAGGAGGAAGAGTGCTGCGTGGCCACCCCTCTCCTTTCCACATGTCCTTGTCACTCAGTGCTTTCAATTCTATGTAACGTCTTTTCTAGCCACAAACATTTCCCCTCATTTCCTGAGAACACACGTTGGAGACATTTTATAATTACAAAGGAGATGGTAAGGGAACCCAGGGACACCTGAGGCCTCCTGGCTGGGGAGGTGCCTTCAGGAAGGCCTGGCCTCCCGGCCCTCCGCTGTCCTTCACCCCACGCTGTGTCACCACACTTCTTTCCTGCCACATCCGGCAGTGGGGATTCTATGCCTGAAGACCCCCATTTGCTCTCCGAACGACTATGTTCCTCCTGAAGGAAGGTCTCTCTGTCCCCTCTAAAATTGTGTTTAATATTGCTCTCTGTGCTTTTGACTCCTCAGATCCAATCTTCCTTCCTAGCCTCTCTGTCCGTGGATGGTGCTGGTGACTCCTCCCTGGCCTGCCGTGGCTTTTGTAGACATCCCCTCCAGCTCGAAACTTCAGCCCCTCCTCCCTTCTTTCTCTTCTTCCCTCTCCCTCTCCTCTCCCACTCTGAGAGCATGGAGTAGAAAGACGTCCATGTGTTTGATTCCCGTCTTCCTCCCGGTTTGCCTCAGGATCACATCTAAAGCAGCGTGTCCAACATCAAATCATCCTTGTCCTTGTAGGGCTACGTAAGAACTAAGTGGGAACATTCTTATCGCCGGAGTTGGGAGTCAAGCAGCGTGTGGCCCTTGATAAGCACCTTAGGGCTGCAATAAAGGAGCACTGTGGTGACACACTGTCTCCCCCAAGGACCCGCCCTTCCCTGGCCAACAGAGTCTTGCCCTCACCGTGACCACTCACTCCCCCCTCCCTTTTCCCCAATGTCCACCCACTCCAAGGCCTCTCGTCTCAGGTGCTGGGACTCTGCCAATAGCCTTACCTTATGTTGCGCCACAGGCTCCACACTGGCCTGAGCCTCAGAGATGAGGAGCTGGGAACATGAAACCTGCCCCGGCAGGAACCGGGGCGGCATTCGGCAGAACGCCGTGAGAACATGACACAGGGCACTCTCGGCTTTCGGTGCTGGCTCAACTGGGGTCTTCCTTATGACCGTTGAAAAAGTCTTGCAGTGGCATCATGGAAGCACATGCAGTTGTCTGTTATATTCTGCAGTCAGAGAGAAAAAAAGAAGCCAGGAAACAGACAACAAAGGAATATTCCTGTACGTATCCCAAGACCTGTCGATGTTAAAGAGAGACACAGGTGGACAGCTGATACATTGATAGCTCAATAGACAGAAAACAGCCAAAACTTTGAACTTGAAATGGTTAAGATAATTCCCCTTCCACTAGGGAAAAAAGCCCACATTTGATTAGAAGATTTTTAATTTTTTTACAGCAAGAAGCTTCCCCTTCAGACCCAGTTACAACTGGTTTTCTGCTGGCACCGACCCGTCTCCATCTCTGTGGACATGCTGGGCTGCTTTCGGCTGTTTCACGAACACAACTGTATCCTAAAATCACCTTTGGCTACAAAAGAAGGGAAAACTCCCATCTGTAAAGGCTTTTGTCAAGAAGTGTGTCATCAAAATAGAGTCCCATTCACCTGCTGTCCTTACGAGGCTGGCAGCTATTTTCTATCCTTATTTTAAATTTCCTCTCTTTACCTTCCTCTTAAGGGAATTGACAAGGGACCGATTCAGAGCGAGGCCTATCTTATCTTTGAAAACTGGCTGCATCCCAATAAAAATTTAAAGGACTAGCTTTCCAGTCCATGTCAGAGACAGACCAAAGCAATGCCCCGTGTGACGTCACAGGCGGCACTCCCAGGAGGAGCAGCGGTGCCTGAAGACATCACGGCCTCACTGGCTCCTCACTGGAGCCTGAGGCTCCCCATTCCACACTAAGATGCTCTGATGCACTGGGGAAATTGGAGTGAATGTAAAACTTTTATCTGGGAATATACTTTCCTTTATGAAATAGCCACTTGGATCTGCTACTGGTGACGTTTTAACCAAATGACCAGAAGTATCTGTTCACTAAAGTGACTTTCAAATTTTTAATGTAACTCACATTGCTTGTTTTGATTGTGAGAGATGATGTTTTGCTAATATAGTAAGTCAAGGTAGCTCAGTAAGTTAACAAATATTATCTTTAGAGCTAGATCATCATCATTTATTCAAAAAACAGTATCAAATACACAGATTGTAATGACATGCAGCAGCTTCGTCTCTGCAGAGAACTTCCGCCGCTGTGCATGGCTTACTTCTCAGTTGTGTGAGGCGGATGGGCCCTGTGTCCTCACCTTACCTATGATGAAAGTAAGGCTCAGAGCTGTTAAGCACCTTGCCCCACGTCTCTCAGTGGGAAGTGTGACTCGGACGTGCAGCGAGGTGGCTGTAGGAACTGAGTGGCCTCGCTCATCCGCAAGGTCCCAGCATTGGCCCTGGTGTCTGGTAACATCTTTTTTTTTTTTTTAAGGAACTGCCAGAGTAGTTTTTTTGTTTGTTTGTTTTTTGTTTTTGTTTTTTTTTTTTTAATGAATCTTTTTGGCAGCTTTTTTTTTTTTTGAGAGAGAGAGAGAGAGAGAGAGAGAGAGAGAATTTTAGTTTATTTATTTTTTTTTTTTAGTTTTCAGCAGACACAACATCTTTGTTTGTATGTGGTGCTGAGGATCAAACCCGGGCCGCACGTGTGCCAGGCGAGCGCACTACCGCTTGAGCCACATCCCCAGCCCCTGGTGTCTGGTAATATCCAGAGCTTAATAATCATCGATAGTGAACACCAGCACTGGTAAATAACCACACAGTTTTTAGCACTTAAAGAATAAAACTTAAGTCACATTTCCTGCCCTCAACTAAATTGCATTCTGATCCTTGCTTGAGCTTGAGGGTCTTCACAGTAAACCAGCAATTCTAGCCCAGTTTCTTCAGAGGCCTTCAGCTAGAACCCTCACAGAACTCATTCTCCAATTCAGCCTCAGAGATCTGTCCTGTGTGGCACATGCACACGCATGCATACGTGTAGGTAGACATCTGTGTATGTATACATGTATGTCTATATACAACACACATATATATTGCTAGAAATATATATGCATTAGATATTGTACATATATTTAATCTCCATATTTAATAATGTCTTGAACATTTCAAATGGTAGTAAGTAGCATTATAGTGTATGAATATTTCCATAACACTTGCCTAAGGATACAAAACATTTGGCCATTAAAGAATAGAAAGTGACAATGTCAACTTCTAATTTTAAAATATAATCAGAGACATAATACTTGGAAGGACAAAAAGGGCAGGAATTTGCTTAGATTTACAGCCAGAGGACTTGTCTGCTTTTCTTTATCTGCTACCAGTTCAGATTCTACATATATTTTTTTTTTATTTTTAAAAAGTAGACAAAAAAAAATGAGGCAAATTTTTTTTGTCCTAATATAGAAAGGCAAATGCTTTAGGCTTATTAGTTCCCCAGAGAATGAGACCTCCCGGACACAAGCACACACACCTGTCCCAGTGTCTGTGTGGTGTGTGATTCCATGATCTAAACATTTGCATGACCCTGCTCTAAGGCGAGTAGCATTAACCTTGGACTCTGCACCCAAGGGTACAAACGTGGGCACGTGTCACATACTTCTCAGTTCATGCATACTTTCCGAACAACACATAGCCGTGAGTAGGAGAGGGAGAAGGATTGAATTTCATGAGCAGCATTCCAGATGTATTGATAGAACTGCACCAGGACTCTTTTCTCCGAGTAAGCTCAAGTTTTAACCTTTTAGTGCTCAAAGGGAGGACACCTGAAAGGGACAACTGACAAACCCGGGAATGCCAAAAGTCCTCAGGGTTTTAACATCCGAATGGTCCTTGTTGAGGTATCTCTTTAATGAGTGACCGACCGACTGTCCAGTTTGCTCAGGGATGAAAAGCCTCCCTGGTCAGGACTTTCAGTGCTGATCCAGAATGACTGGGGCAATGGCACCACACTGCTCCTCGGCATTCCCAGTTCCCAGGACCCGCGGGCTGGGCTGGATCAGAACAGGGGCTGCTCTCGGGCCGGGCCCTGTGTCCTCGCCTCCTTTCTGATTCCTCATCTTCCTGTGGCCAGGGTGTCCTGTGTTCTTTACAGTATGAATTTTTCATATGTGACATTTATACTTTATAACATTTATAACATTTATACTTTATATTTATTACTTTATAATGTGTAAAACAACTACAAGGAAAGCTAAAGGAAGAAACAGATGGGAAAATATTTTTAAACACCACTATGAAAACAAGTGAATATTTTAACAGAATCAGTGAAAACTTTTAACTTTCAGAAGGAGTTTGTCACAAACCCATTTCTACTCCCATTTCATCAGAGTGCATAGATCTGATCTGGATCAATTCTTGCTAATACCTATACCTTTGATTAAAAAAAAAAAAAAAAAAAAAAAACAGGAAGACTACCACATGAATTAGTTCCCATGCAGATTCTTCTTAGTCCACCATGTGCTGACATGCATTTAGGCCCCAATTTATTTATTAACATGTCATTTAAAAAGATTCCAGTGGCCCTGAGCTGCAAGGAGAAACACTTCCCTTGCCCCTGTGAGGAGCCCTCCAGGAGATGTACAAACCTTTCCTCAACACCTTTGGGCATGAGGCCAGATTACCTACCTCCTGCACCAATTCAAACCAATGAATTCACTGGCCGGTATTTGTGGGAGACAAGAAGGAGCAAATCACAGGCATCACACTCACAAGGGTTTGGGGAGGGTGTTGGCTATGTCTTAGAAGCCCGATCGTGTTGGGTGCTCAGTCACAGGCCACCATATTACCTGTGTGCCGTAGGACCAATAACTGTCACCGTTCAGTTTCCACAAACAGTGTCACTATGATGGTCAGAGGCCTACAAAAGCCCTCTGAGCCCAAGCCCATTGCAAACGTTCACCGCATCCCATCTCCTGGGGAGACAGAACCACCCTCCTAGGCATGTTGGAGGGCAGCCATGAGCCCCAAGGAGCCACCATGACTGCAAGGCTCCCAGAAAGGGGCTCAGGGCTGGAAGGCTAAGGGCAGGGAGTTAGAGCAGTGGGTGGAAGGCAAGGTGACCAGGGATCCGAGCAGGCCCTGGAAGGAGGCTCTACAGTCCAGCAGACAGGCGCATGAGAGAGCAGGAGGGCTCAGGGGGAGTGCCAGGGAAAGGCCAGGGTCAGAGGGGAACTAGGGAAACTTAAATTCAATTAAGTTAAAAAAAATCAATGTCGGAAAGCCTATGCAGGGAACGATCTCTGAGTCCCTCTCCAGTCCCTGTGCTCTGCCATTTCTGTCCCTCACTGATGTTGAATATATAGAGATATAAATATGCACGTATGTGTGTGTGTATTATAGATTCAGATTTTCATTTCCGTGTTTTCCCACATTCTGCCAACGGTAATAGAACAAGTTACATAAATTGCCACCAACTGTCAAATTTTCAGGATTCTCCACTCTCTGAGTTCAAAGAGAAGTAGTTGTCATGAAGGTTTTCATATTGAAATGAGAAATAGTAAGCTAAACTCACCTGGAGAGGCCTCCAGCAAATAGATCCTGGATTCATTCCTTGCCTGCAATTTATCTAAGCAATCCACAGGAATTAAATGAAATAAAATGTATGTGTTTTTTCCTAAATCTCTTGAATATTGAGAAAAGGCCAGATTATCTGTCACCCCTTTCACATGGGGTGACAACAACAACAACAACCCACAAAACACTATTTCGATTTGGAGGAGTGTAGGAGGCCAGGTCCCCAGGCCAGATGGTGAGAATTCTGTGGGTGCCTTTCTTCTCTAAGCCCCTTGGTGGAGGGAAGTCTCCAAAAGCAAGCGTCTTGGGGAGCCACGGACACATAAGGTGCCATGGGGCAGCACATCCTGCTGCCTGCTTGCCACATTGATGGTCACAGGCAGGGACACCTCAGTGTTCCTCCTCCACCTTGGCCTGCCCTTGCCTGTGGACCCATGATGGCCTGAGAGGAGATTCTCTTCAAGCAATCAGAGATGAAGGGAACACCCTGGCTGTGGATCAGACACACAGGTTGTGAAGCTTTACTCTGATCAGGAGGAGACTTTGCTTGCCCCAGGTCTTTGGTTGATGGTGCTGCTCTCTCAGTTCATTAGCTCACCTAAGGACTGCTCGGTGTCCATCACACTTGCAGGTGCCCTGAGGGAGAAGATAAGTCTGCTCTTTCGGAGTCCAGAGGACACTAATGGCAAATTCTGGGCTGATTAAAAAACATGGTGTCACCAGCTTATTAGAAAGGGCTGCAGGCAGTGTACCAACACTGCTCCGGTCTTGTGGCTTCCTGAGACTAATTACTTTTAAAAGAAAATGAGAAGTTACCTGTCATTTGAATGGTGCATGTGTGAGGTCTCACAGTTGGTGGAGGTTGCGGGAGCGATTTGGTGCTCATTTTGTACAGTGTTTTTAAACCATGTTGGGGTGCAGTTGTTCACAACTTCCATACCTGAGGGAGGTGGGATCGTGTTTTAATTAGTTCCCTGTAAGGTAGTAATAGATGGTGCATGCAGATAGGCAGAACTGAGTGTCTATTTTCATGACAAGTAGTGATTTCTAAGAAAATCATGATTAAGTCTGGAACAAACTAAAAACAGGGGGGTAGTGACATCCAACTGGAATTCTGTGACTGGGACTATGAGTTTCTTGCCCCTAAAGGGGTAAATGCAAGACATCACATTCAAAGGTGCTCTTAAGCACAGGTGATGGTGTTTGCAAATATTGACAAAAAGGCATGAGATGAATTGTTACTATTAGATTGGTCTTGTCTCTAGATAACTTTCCTCCATGAGTATTTGTATATTTCAATAGTCAACTGATAAACTATTGGGGGTTCCAAGTCCTCTTATTAGAAATTCTAATCCACTTTTATGTCATTACCATATTCAATTTTGTCTAAGTCATATATATCTATACAAAACCTCTCACCTTTCTCCTGGGACTAATGACTTTCTGCATGTGAATATTTTTATATGGGAAGCAAAGCTGGAGCTCCCACCCAGCTGCTCCCCCTCCCCTCTGTCTCCTCCACCAATCTCAAGTGGGACACCAGAGGTCTGGGGCCATAATAGCACGGAAAAGCTAGAAACCAGGTGATAGAGAACCAGGTAGCAAAGAAAGGAGAAAAAGCAAAGAGAAAAAGCCAGGCCCAGGGTGCTGGGGGAAAGGCAGGCTGCACAGAGATGCTTCCCAGATCCTGGAGAAGAGTGGGAGACAGGCTCAAGGAAAAGGTTGTTCTTGCTGCCCATAAGTTTTCCCAAAGGAAACTATCGCAAGTCATGTCAAATCTAGATCCC